TGGAGCATCGCACAAGCGCTAAGATGCATGCGTGAAGTGCACGCATGCACGAGGATGCCGCCGGCCCCGTTTCAACCGAACTGGTTGGAACGGGATAAACAACCCACCACTGTACACATATCACAGTCCATGCTTTTTAAAAATAAATAAATGAAGGTTAGATTCTGATCACTCACCAGGACACGTGGCTCTAATGAGCCCCAAAGTAATCTGAACATTTCCAAACTTTTTTGTAAATTGCTAACCTCACTTTGATATTAATATTTATGCTGATCTGATCTCATACATATTATGATGGAATATCCACCTGAAGAAGCAGTGGAAGCAAATCTTGGCAGCACAGAGCTTTCTCAGGAAGGAGGCAGTATATTCCAGAGAGAAGCTCAAATTAAGAAACTGAGCTAGAATCTCTCAGGATACATCTAATAGGCTAGAGGTTTATAGCTTTAGCTTGGCAAGATTCTGTCCATTAGGTGTAAGCAAACAAAGGATTGGACTCAATTGGATTTCACTGTGCCGTTTTTGGGCTTAAAGCACTTACTAAAACTCATAGGCATATGGTTTTCTACAACTCCTGTTGTCTTGCTATTCTTTAATATTTACATTGGAACATATGATCTTCCTATACATCAGTGAGAAAATAGATTCACTTTCTAATCTTTTTCCCTTAATAGATTTTTGAGAGTGAATTAGTTAGGATTGGAATTTTTTTTATGCAAGCCTTGCTTTTTCCATGACTATTCAGGATGCTCTCAAGCAAGACACTTTGTTATATCTGTACAAAATTGTAAGAATGACTGGGGTAGTTAGTATAGGAATAAAGGGAAAGGTAAAATGAATTTTCCATGTTCTTGTTTTCCAAAAAAACACCTTTGTTTTGTAGGTGATGAGATTCCATGGTGGCACTCTTCCTATGTACATTATTTCTAATATTCTTCTTGCCTACAGAAGACAGTTAAGGTCCCTAGTGTCAACAGGTAACATTACATGAAAAGATTTTTAAGCAAGGTTTGTTTATCGCTAAAAAACTAGTTCACATTGCATTTAATTTTATGTTCTGTGTCATCACTTTTAAAACAAGGCTGACATTTGTTTGAAACTATTTATAATGAAACAAATCCCTTTTAGAATGTAAAGAGATAAAATTTTTACATTACTAGTAATTAGTGAATTATGAATATTTCATAGCTTATTGACTTCAACATGATCATATTTTAAAATAAGGTGTTTACAACACAGGTAGCCCTCAAGTTACGACAATTGGGACCAGACGGTCTGTCACTAAGCAATGCAGTAGTAAATTCCACTTGACTGCATCCCTTAGTGACATCAATCCTGGTCTTTGTTGTTTTTGAATCCCGCCAGTCATCAGCCAAGGACCTATCCTGATCCAAGCCATTCCTGTCTAGATCCCTCCCAGCCTCGAGCTCCAGTTCTTCCAATGTAAGGGATTATCTCTCTTACAGTGCCCCCCCCCAACTGCCTTTAGATCATCTAGGGTGGGGAGAGCATAGGGAAGCAGGGGACTGGGAGTGCAGGGGGCCAAAAGGGCAGAAATGGGGAAGAAATAGGCAGGTAAGAGGAATTAAAGCACCCCTGTGATTGATCATGTGGCCATAACTTCAGGGACTGTGCTAAAGTACATTTGTTCAGTGCCTCCGTAATTTCAAATGGTCACTGGATGAATTATCATAAATTGAAGGAATAAAGATTTTGAAAAGCATATTTCTAAAGAATTGCATTATACTGGGCTTTTTAATAAGACTTACAAACTGGACATGAAAATGTATGCATGGAACTAAACATTATTTTAATTTAAATATAGATATTTAAATATCTTGAGTTTTAATTTTTTTTCTCTTTGTGCTCAAGTATAAAGAGAGTCTGAGAAGTAATTGATTTTGATAGCATAATTTTTAAACATTTTCAAATGTATTCTAAAAAGATAAATGTTAACTTTATCGTTTAATTTGTGAACATGTGGTTTCAGATATTTTTTTCTTTTGTTCCAGGTCAGTGTTCAGATTTCGTTCCTGCACTTACTAAAGCAGCTAAGCCTTATAAAGTAGAACCCGTAGCATACATGATTAGGTTCTTCTTGGGGTATGTTTCTTTTTAATATATTTAATATATTTTTATCTTATAGTTACATAATTTTTCTCAAACATGAGAATTTTTATAACTATTTATAACATTAATTTTGCAGCTAAGATTAATTACTAGTTTTGGGAAATGCAGGTAATCAAACCAAATAACTATCATGCTGTTTATTTTTTTATTTTTTTTAGACTTAACTGGTTTAAAGGACTCAGAAATCCAGACCTGGATCGTGTCACAGTGAACAACCAGGACTTGTGGTTTCCTTTTGTATCCCTGATTCTCTTTATGTTTGGGACTGGCATAGCCTATTGGGGTGGCATACTTCTTGACTCATCTATAAGGCTCTTATCTTCATTGCACTTAGCTTTGACCAGGTAAAAACCCATAAATAAATGCAAATGTTTAGTGGTATTGCTGGAAACAATATTTGGTAAACTTGCTGAGAAGTATATTCTCTCTGCCGTATTCAACCATGCAAGAATATTTTCTGAATTGATATTTTTAAAATAATCTTAAAACTGAAACACCTGTAAATATCACAAGCACAACGCAAAGGCTTCTGGTGTAGCCCTAGTCCTAGTGTTGCATAATGTTGCAGGATGTAGCCCTAAGTTCTGGTGTTAGCATAAGCTAACTAGAGCATAAGCAACACTCCTTGAACCTATAGTTACTAGTATTACACACTAGCTACTGTATCCCTTAAAAGGCAACAGGAATTAATTATTTACTACACTTCTGTATTTTTCAGGCAACACTTGCACAAAAGGTAAAATGACTCTAGCAATTTGACAGATTGGAAATGGATCATATTTACTCTAAGTGGCTTCATCATCTTTTCCGAGAATGGAAAGTTAACAACATACGTGCACACCCACTCACACCCACACCCACACCTCACAGAAGTGTTCTTGCAAAGTAAACTATTTGGATGTGTGTAAAGAGATCCCCAAGAATAGAACTTTTATCTTTTAATAAAACAATAAGAAAATTAGGAAGAAAAAATCTCTCTCCCTCTCTGTTTAGATCTTACTCTCTCCATTGGAGATACAAAAACAAAACTAATTGGTTTTCTTTTCTAAATGATTTAGCTGTCTAAAATTCATAACACCTAGTAATTTTTGGCTAGGCCAATGAAAAGATCACAAAATTATGTGCAAACTTTTGAATTCTCTAGAGTTGTTAATTGGATTAGGGCAGAAAAGAGAAAAGATAAGTAGCTAATTCCCTCCAAATAATCTAGTGGGATTCTACCATAGTTCCAAAACACTATGGATTGTGTTGGGAATTTTGTGAAATTGAAAAGTTGTGATTTTTCAAGCTTTGTTGTTATTTTTATCAAGAAAGTTATTGATCTTCCTGAAATGTACTTCTGAATTCAGAAATAGTCTTTTAAGCAAGGCAGGATATGTTATGAATAGAATGTATTCTATTTAAATTTTAAACTGGTTTGGAAGAACTATAACAATATATATTATAAGTAAAATATTATACTAATGGATAAAATCCTCCCACCTGTATACCATAGACCAGTGACCGCGAACCTTTTTTGGCTCATGTGCCAAAAGCAGGAGCGCAGTGGAATCGTGCGTGGGTGTGCCACACCCATAAGCGCATGCATGTGTGACCAGCACTCTCCCCCCACACCTTTGGCAGACTTTTTCCCCTCCCCAGGGTCCAGAAGCTTTCTAGGAGCCTGGGAAAGGCAAAAACAGCCTCCCCTGCCCCAAGGGAGGACCTCCGGAGTCTTCAGGAGCTTCACTGAAGGCTCTGTAGGGTAAAAAACAACACTATGGCCAAACCGAAAGTGACTTCGTGAAGGCTCCGGAGGGTGAAAAATGGCCCTACAAGCAAACCAGAAGTCCATTCCCAAACTTCCGTTTTGCCCTTAGGGCCAGTTTTTCCTTGAAGCCTCCGGAGGGCAAAAAAATGTCCTCAAAAGAAGGCCAAAGTCAGCTGGCCAGCGCTCACGTGCACCCTGGAGCTGGCAGGGCAACTCTTCGTGTGCCCTAACAAATGACTCCGTGTGCCACCTGTGGCACGCGTGCCATAGGTTCGCCATCACGGTCATAGACCAAGGATAAGAAATATAGCAGCCTCCAGATGTTTTAGATTTCATTCCTATTAGTGTAGGTTATCAAAGTATAGGTGTAGGTTGCCAATTTGTTAGGAGTATTGAAGTTTCAAGTACTTGCTTACTGCTTGCTATAAACAAATTTGTAGTTTAATTAAAGGGTACTTTTAAACAGTAATTTTATGCTAAGTAGAACAACTAGCTGTTCATTGTATCTTTTTTGTGTGTGTTCTATTATTTCCCTCCGTGTATTGTTACAAATAATGGTTTGATATTACATACGAAGTGGAAAAAGCATAAGATGGGATGAGATGAGATGAGATGAGATAGCCTTTATTGTCACTTTTTTCTATCAACATACTGCCTCACATTTAAAAATCAAGTTCTCAAAAGAAAATAAGCCAAAATGCTGAAAATCTACCCATATAATGGTAAACTGTGCAACAAAATCATGAGAGAGTTAATTGTAGGGGGAAAAGCTCATTATGCATTACCTGTGTCCCTATGCATTTAGGTATCATGGCAAACTATGATTAAGAAACTTAGCATTTCTGATTTGGCAAAACCAAGGTTGAAATTAAATAGAAAATCATTTAGAATGTTGATTCCTACTGAGTCTACTGAATCTCAATTTAATGTTGAGTAATAAAATAATGGAAAACAGCCAAGTGACTTTCAACCAACATTTGAACATTAGACCGCTAAAAAGTCAGTCTGCAGCTTGAGTCACAAAAATACTTATCATAAACCATAGTTTGATGTGAAGTTTGAACTCTGACATCTTGTTTTGTAATATAATTAATATTTTATTTCATAAAAGTGTTTATTTTGTATTTGTTAGACCCTCTGGACCTCCATCTCACAACCGTCTGATTACCCGATTAAGATTTTGTGTTGCGGTTTCAATGTTTTTTCTTTGTTGGACTACCTGTGGAGCGCTGGCAATAATGATGACTTATTTTCATTATATATTCAAGGTATTTAAACAATAAAAGTTATGTGATATAATACAAACATAGTTTTGACATTTTTGGGCTACAGGTTGGCTAGTTAATTTCCCACTAGTTTATGTTAAGCATGGAAGATTATAGGCTTTTGCTAGTTTGGCCTTGAGATCATCTATCCTGCCCGTATATGTGTCTATGTACAACCTATGTGTAAACATTTACTGCTGATGTTTCTGGTAATCAATACAGAAGTGCCTCTAGGGAAAAGTCAGTAGGATGGAGAGCTATTGGATAATTCTTAACCAGGTTATACAATTTGTCCCTTTGCCCCTGAAATAGGTTTATGCTCCTTGCTCGTTATTCTTTCTATCCAAGGAAGAAAGCAGACTGAAATATTTTTTTAAATGGATGGTAAATAATGTAGCAGTAAAATCCCAAAGAGCTTCCAGATATGCAGGGATTATATATGAATTCAATAATATGGTAAGAATGCAAAGTGCTCATGCATGCAATATAAGGAAACCACAAAGATGCCAGATAAGAGCTTTAAAAATATTTAAAGAGGAAACTGTAGAACAAAGAAGCGCAGAATAGTAAAGCACAACCATTAACTTTAGGAAGCTATGATCATAGGCATATAATGTTGTGGCAGAACTAAAATATATGCTTGTTGTTACAGGTTGTTAATTTCCATTCAAATTTAAGATCTGAACTAAGTGTTTGTAATGCGGTAAGTCTGTTTATTGTGTACTTTTTGTGGTTGGCTTAAGAACATTCATGTCTTAATATATGCAGAGTTCCTGTTCTTGCCTACTGCTTGCAGAATATCATTACTCTGCATTTTTTCATGGGGATTTACTATACCCACCCCCATGGTGAAAGGCTGAAAAATCTTGGGTTTCCGAACTCCTAGCTTCTTTTTTAAAGAATAAATAGATTACTGTTTTATTTTAGTGTTTCCAGTGCTTGAATAATTCTTCATAACAATGCAGTGTCAAGATAGCACCTTGAGAGGAAAATCCAAGCATTTGAGCAACTGAACACCATAACAGGAAGTGGGGCAGAAAATAGGTTCAAATGAGGACTACTGCATTGGTTATGCCACTGTTGGCTCTCCAGCTCTTTGTATGTAATTCAGAGCTTATGTTCCATTCTTCTCAGAATATTTTACAGAAGAAACAATAATTACTGTATTTTTTGGACTATAAGACGCACCAAAATTTCAAAGAGGGAAGTAAAAAAAAAAAAAAGTTTTGTCCTCCCCAGCCCCAAGGAGCACTCTGCAGGCTTCAGCAGGGCTGGGGGAAGCAACAATGCCCCCATTTTTCATCAAAGGCCCTGCTGAAGCCTACAGAGTGCTTCTGGGGGGTGGGGGAAGGCAAAAACGCCCTTGTTTTGGGGAAAAATGGCCCATTCTTTTGCCTGTTTTTCACCAAACTGGGGGCATTTTTCCTTCTCCCAGCCCTGCTGAAGCCTGCAGAGTGCTTCTGGGGGGTGGGGGAAGGCAAAAATGCCCCCATTTTTGCNAAAATGCTGTATTCAGTGTATAAGACGCACCCAGATTTTCACCCTCTTTTTTGGGGGAAAAAGGTCCATCTTATACTCCGAAAAATACGGTAAATAAATAAGCTAAAAGAATAAAAAGTTCTTTTTGATTACTAGAAAGATTAATATTTTCCTCACAGGTTGGTTTATTCTGAAGGGCTTTTTCTTCTTTTTTCTAGACAAATAAATGTCAGACTTAGAAGAATGGTTATATGGCACTCACCACACAGCTTGCAAAGCCAATGCCTACTAGGCGCGGGCTGATGTGCTTCTAGACGAATCTGCCCAGCTGCCATCTCCAGAAAGAAGAGAGGGATCCCAATGATGAAGAGGAGTAGCCGGTATAGAAGCAGAAAACAACCTGTCCAGCAAGAGGCAGAATTTTATGGATTTCAGTCGTTCTGGCAATAATTCCACAAATGACAGTCTCATGAATCAGGCTAAACAGGGTGTCGGCAACCCGTGGCTCCGGAGCCACATGCAGGTCTTTCGTCCCCCTGCTGTGGTTCCCTGTCAGCTGAACCCAGCACTGGCTGGCCCCACCCTGCCCCTCACCCTCTCCTCCCAGTGACTTCTTGCCTGGCCTGAGAAGGTAAGTGGGAGCGAAGCGCCTCTGTACATGCCTCATCTTGTGGGGGGCTTCTTCCAGCCCTTGTTGGTGCTGTGTGCACCTCGGTCTCTGGGGGAGACGTGCAACTTGCTCTCTGCCCCGAGACACTGGCCCAGCATGGCTGCGGCCAATGCTCTGCGTCGTAATGGGCTCCAGGAGGAGGAAGGGATGCAATCTCCCCCATTGTGAAGAACACTAAATTTAACTGTGCTGCGCAAGGTGCTGTCTCAAAGCCAGGGCAGTGTCTCAGGGCAGAGAGCAAGGTGTGTGTCTCCCCAAGTGACTGAAATGCATGAAGCACCAACAAGGGCTGGAAGAAGCACCCGCGAGATTAGGCAAATACAGGGGCACTTTGCTCCCGCTCCGAATATGGAGCAATTCTCCATCCCCTGTCATCACCCTTACCTTCTCAGGCCAGGTGAGGAGTGATGGGGAGGGGAGGGCAAGGCCAGCCAGTGGTGGGTTCAGCCGACAGGGAGACACAGCAGGGAGGCAAAAGAGCTTCATTTATCTGGAAACGTGAAACAACTCTTGATTTAAATCATATGGTAAAAAGCACCCAAAGAAGAAGAAAGGACAACATCAGCAAAAAAAAAAAAAAAAGAACCAACCCTCGCATTTTTGGAAATGCTTCAAGAGGGAACACTCACACAAACACACTGTCAGGCCTGCATTTATATTCCTTTTAGAATTTTGGCCTGCCACACTTTCTCTTATTTCATTATGCTGTTTCTTTAAGTATAGTCGATGGGANCTGCTGTAAGATTCTACTCTTGGCCCTTGGTTAGCTTTTCAAAGTGGGGTCCTTATATCTTGGTACCAAAATAAAAGTATAATTCTATATCACACCTTGTGTCCTTTGGGGCTTCGACCCCAAACAAGAGCCCAGTTTTGGGGACAACAGTACTACTCAAAAAAAAGTGATGTTATTAGCCATCAAACCTCAAAAATATACTTTTCCCAAAAGGTTTCCACAATTTTGGCCACTACTGTATAATATAGGGCAACAAAAGAACACACCTAAAAGGAAAGCAAAATGAATCAGTATTCCACAATGTCCCTGGACGTGGATACAGCTGCTTTGATGAAGAGGAACCATTTGCAGACAAACTAGAGATTATTTCAAAGATGTTTGTAAAGAAATGTGTTTAGAACGTGCTAAACTTCTGAAATGTTTCTTTTTTCCAAAACAACTTCTTTCAGATACAGGACTGGTTGTTTTACGCTTTTCCAGGTTGAGGATTACACTCCAAGCAGGATTGATTTCAGCTATAGTTTCATTCATTCAAATTAAATATTTTTAATAAGGTAGTCATTTGTTCTTTCCCTTCTATCACATTGCAAATCACAATCTGAAAACATTGGAAGACGCAGTAGTCACTAAGCAAACCCATTTTTTGCTATGGATTCTTTTTACCAGAAACTGGAAATAAATGCAAGATTTCAGCAAAAAACATTGCAAGTTGTGTTTCTGTGATTGTGGGACACTGCAAATGGCTGTAAACATGGGCTGGTTGCTGAGTGCCCAAAATGCAGTTAAATAACCATGGGAGGCCTTCTTGGCTCTTGGAACTTCAGAACTAGGTTGGGTGCCCATTGTAATTTTGAACAGTTACGATGCAACCAATTGTAAGTTGAGGACTACCTGTAGTCTCTTTTTTAGACCGTAGGAGTATGCTTGTAGATAACAGAGGCTAAACATCCAGTTGCCTCACAGCAAGATGGGCAGCAAAATAAATAAATAAATAAATAAACACCATATTTTTCAGAGTATAAGACGCGCTGGAGTATAAGACACACCAAGATTTTGAAGAGGTAAATTTTTAAAAAAGGTTTTTGCAATCTGCAGACCTTCCAAACCCTCTGCACACCTCACTTTTTGTGAAAAAGGGGGCATGCAAAGAGTTTGAGATGCCTGCAAAGAGCTCCTGGGGGTTGGGGGAGGGGAATGAGCATAGCCTTTAGGAGGCTTGTAGAATGCTCCTGGGGGCTGGGGGGGCAAAAACGAGCAAAAAAACCGGCCCATTTTTCACAAAAATGGGATGCGGGGATGGGGCTTCGGGAAGCCAAAAATGGCTGTATTCAATGTATAAGATGCACCAACATTTCCACGCTCATTTAGGGGGGAGGGAGATGTGTCTTATACTCCAAAAAATAAGGTATAATTATCAAACTAAAATAGGGTTCTCGAAAGCTGGCAACTTTAAGACAAATCTTAAAAAATAGCAATAATCCTTCATCAGGAAGGAATCTGATTTAAAATAAAACAATAATATATAATCTCATGAATTTAAACGACTGAATTATGGCATGCTATTATTAAATTATTTTATGAACATTTCAAATTACTCTTTATACTTGTATTAACTAATGCTGAAAAAACTGAAATATATTTATATTTTTATAGCCCATAAAGAACCCAGAACCTAAATCAGAAGATTCAAAAAACGAAAAGTGGAACAGCTGCAGATCGGAGGATTGCCCTTCAGAAGCAAGAAACTCATTTAGCACCACAATCGCCAATGACAGCATTATAGATAGCCTTAAGATGCATGTCACTGTCATCAACTTAATGACATGGATTGTGCTTCTTAGTTGTCCATCCTTAATTTATTGGCTAAAAAATATCAGGTAATCATCCCCAATTTGCAGGTTTTATTTTTTAAAAACTATTATGAGATGGTCCTATGAGCTCATTAGAAGACTTTATGAAGTACCGTATTTTTCAAACTATAAGACGCACCAAGATTTTGAAGAGGCAGATTTAACAAAAACGTTTTTGCACTCTTCAGACCTCCCAAAAACGGCCTGTTTTTCACAAAAACAGACCCGTTTTTTTGTAAAAAAAAAAAAAGGGGGGAGGCATGCATAGCCTTTAGGAGGCTTAGAGAGGGCTCGGGGGGGGGGGGGGGGGGCGAAAAACAGCCTGTTTTTTGCTAATTTTGCCCTCCCCAGCCCCCAGGAGCACTCTATAAGCCTCCTAAAGGCTATGCACGGCCATTTTGGTGAAGGGGGCGGGGTTTCAGGAGGCCAAAAATGCTGTTTTCAGTGTATAAGAGGCATCCAGATTTTCAGCCTCTTTTTTGAGGGAAAAAGGTGTGCCTTATACTCTAAAAAATACGGTATTTGGGTGTGTAGATGAAATTAGTCCAGATGAGTTATGACTGTGAGAGGCAGCCACAGTACATTAGCAGGCAGAGAACTAAAGAAAAAAATATTTAAAAGTGAAAAGATAAAACGGCTGCAAGAAAATGTAGAACCACAAATGTTTTAATTTTAGCATACTAGGAACCTATCTTGAAATGAAAAATCAGTTATAAGTATTTTTTTCATTATCTTAAAATTGGCATTGTTTTCTTTACAGTTTATGAAATAGGTAGTTCACAGAAATTCAATATTTTTTATTGTTAAAGTAGCTTTAATTGAGAGAAAAATTGCATTTGGGCCATCTAATGACATGGTATTGTTTTCCCTATTTCTCTGCTTGTTTTATTTTCAAGAATCTTTTCAACTCCTTTACGGTATTTTGTTGTTGCTACTAGAAAAATAATTTTGCATGTGAGTAATACAAATTGCAATAGTCCTTTGTATTTTCTTTCTTTTTAAATTAGATACAATATCAGACTTGATCCTGATCCATGCAGATTTGTTGCTGTTATTCTGATAGTCATTTTGGGTATACTCATGAATACAAGTACTACAAAACTTAAATCAAGGTACTTTAATTATCTTATAATATATATAATTATATAATATATTATAAATTGTACTACAGTACATTGAATCACTCTTGTATCGCATATTCTCCCTTCTTATAGTACATTGGGATAATGTCAGCGCTCTAAGTGTGTAGAATTAAATCAGAGTCCAAGGCAAAACGATCCTTAAAGTTCCAATTTAATAAAGCAGACATCTTAGCACATCTGTGTTAATCCCAATTCTGGAAATTACCTTAGAATCCCACCCAGTTCAAAATTCATGATCTTGTCCTCACACCCACAATCCATCACATGGTCCAATCTTCTTCTTCCACGCTGGAGCCTCCACCCAGCTGCTTCCGGTCAGGTTTAAAAGTGCGGAGACAAAAGATGACGTTGGCTTCTAGAAAAGAATGAAAACAATACATTCCACAATCCTACCCCTTTCTATTCCCCCCTCCCATCGACTATACTAATGAAACAGCATATTGAAATAAGAGAAAGTGTGGCAGGCCAAAATTGTAAAAGGAATATAATTTCAGGCCTGACAAAAAGATTTTTTTAGCTTTCTGAACTGCTTTAGATCCAACAATAGCAGCAAAAGGATGGAAAATGAGATTTGTTTATTTTCATCTTGTTCCAAGCTTATTTTTTTCTTTTCCTACACAAAAAATAAACTGAATTTTCCAGATCATTTTGTAATTCTGCTAACTGACAACTCTCATAGTAATTATTACAGAAAATAAAGAAATTGTATGAATTGTTCTCTTATAAACTCATGAGGGAAGGAAATGGAAGTCTATATGGACTTTATACATTTTTTTTCTTTTAAAAGCCATGGGGTAGATGGTTCTCTTACAAGCTGAGGTGCTAAAATTCCAATTTCCCATTTTAGCATATTCTAGGATGTTTTACTGCAAATAAATTATATGTTGAACATTACTCCATAGTATTGCTTCAATAATATCTGTTGTTTATTTGCTACATTAGCCTGTCCAGCTTGATTACCCTGTCCACCAATAAATTGTACCTGTATCTCCAGTCAGCATAACCATGTGGCTTGGGAGTTGAAATCAAATATCACATGAGATTAGGAAAGACTAAGATTAACAAAAGTACTCATACATCTTACTGCTTGAATAATTTTATTTTATTCTTTTTCTTTCTCTTCCTACAGTAAATTATTGAAGATTGCAGCATATTTTCCACTTCTTTTCTCTGTTGCTGCTGTAGTTTTTGCACCTGTTTATTTATATCAAATGCCATACTTTGTAATAATTCCTCTTTTTTTACATTCATTATGCAGCATTGTTTAAAATACTTTAGCTGGCCAAAACAGTAAGAGATGGGGAAGTATAGATAATATAGGAAAACCTACGCTGCATCTTCTATCAATGGTAGAAAATGGAAAGGCTATAGGTTTCCAAAGAAAACAATATTTTACTTACTAATTTTTAAAAGAAATGCATAAATCTGTTGCTCAGTAAGCACTTTGTTCTCGACACTGAGAGAAAACATGGTTGCATCGGTTCCTTGTATTGAAGCAAATGGCTTATACTTATTTATTTTAGAATTGAAAGTTTACATGTCCAAGATACTTCTGTGTACTTATTTCATTGAATCACCACTCCCATATTTATTTTGGCAATATTACTGTTGGAGTAAATAAGATAACAGTTTGTATTGTGAAATGGAACGTTAACAGAGTATTTTCTGCATAGAAGCCATTTTATTCAAGGGCAGTGAAACCCTGCATTGTGTATATGATCATTTCTCTAATATGTTCCTTTTTAGATACTTCACTGGACAATTCTTATAGTTCCAACCATGTTGGAAAGACTAGGTTAAAGACAGACAAACATGACAATTCAGAAAACTTCCCTAGAGCTATACACAGAGATTTTAAAAATGCATCCTGGAAGTATTTCATTAGAATAACATTTTGCTAATGTCATTCAGCACCTCTTGGGTCCAATATTATTTGGATTGATAAAATGTAGGCATCAAAGATATCAATACTTATCTGTGCACAAAGAAGTTTTAAAAGGACCTGCCTTTAGGCAGAACTATGTTAATGTTACATATAACCATTTAAAAAGCAGCAAATATTTTGGTTCTTTAAATAAAATGCATAAGGGATTTTTGCTGCTTTTGCATATCACCATGAGCTTAAAACTTCATTGTATTTCTTAGCAGCTCTTTTACATAATGGCTAATTTCCTCTTCCTAAAGAGATTCTTCTTCTAAACAAAGTTATAATACATATTTTCCTTACTTGTATCCACTATAATTCCTGCCTAAAGTGCCTTTGGTTAGTTATTTGTCTCTTGTTTATCATTTTTTTTTCTAATTTATTAAACAAATATTTATAGAATTGTTCTGTAATATTAACAATTTCGTATATTGTGCTATGTATGAATCATCACACGTGTTAATGTTACCATCTTTACATGGAATGCTTCAGGGTCAAGCCAGTCTTGGTATTCAGGCATACTTTTAATAGGATATTAAAATATTCTTAGGCAAGTCTCTGGAAAAAAGTCCTCCAATATCTAATTTTCAACTGATTTTATGGCACTAAACTGAGCTATCAGTGTACTCTGTGACCTACTTAATGGATGACTTACAACATCCGCAATGAGTTTCTTTTTTACTGCTATACTGGGCTTTTTGCCAACAGCTGGCAGAGCACAAAGTAATGCAATCTATTCTCAGACCTCGTTCAATGAAGACTGACCTTGGAAAGCATTTCTATGCCTCTCATAGCTGTATGCGAAATAGAATTTTGGCAGTGACCTTTTGTCTCTTGTCAGCGCTACAGCAAGGGAAATGGTACTTGCCAAATTATTCCTTCTCAAGCAGAAGCTAAGGGCACAAAAGTTCTCTTCAAATTCATGCATTGGAACCTCCTGGGAAGCTTGTCCTTCTAATCAGATGCCAATGAGAACCTCAATTTGTTAAAGGTCATAATAGGTTTTAGTAAAGGCTCTGTTTGACTGTATAACCTTTATCTATTTTGCAATGCATATGGTGTGGGTATGTGTGTGTCATAGCATCTAATATTTATTAACATTGTGGTAGCTTATTGCATACCAGCTCATAATCTATGGCTATTCAGACTGAAAGCATTAGAAGTTAAGAAGCTATCCAATACACTTTAGAATCTGTAAGACAGCTCTGGACAATCTATTATGGATTCATGTATTACTAGAAAATCAAAGCTGCTGAATGTGGTCTCATACCTGTATATGAGAAGCGGGTGAATTGAGAAATCTCTATAATCATATTCTTAGGTAAATGATGCTATTTTACACTCTATGTGAATTGTGCATACTTAGGATGTATAGCACTTTTATTATACTTTTTACATATTTTTGTACCTGCCTAGAAATTAATAATTTATAGTTTTAGATTGTATATTGAAAGTAGTTTTACACTTTTATCTGAAATGTTTTGCTTTTTTCCTATTTTGGATCCCCTTCTCTTTTTGCTTTTAATTTGGATTTAGAGTGTCCATTAAAAAAAAAAACAAGCAGTGTAATCGTAGCCAGGCTACTCACAAGAAAGTCAATTTGAGTGCATTGAGATTTTCTTCAGTTAAGCATGCGACTATGTGTAGAACTGTAGGTATTTCAGGAAAGTAGTCTAAGGAAATTTTAAAATGAAAACATCCCTACTTTTTAATAGAGTCTTGCCAGAGGTGTCAAACTGGTGGCTCGCTGGTTGGATGCGTGTGCAGCCACGCCTACCCCGGCTCCACAAGGCAAAAAATGTTGTGATATGTCACATCACGCGACCGAGTTTAGCATCCATTCATCTAGGCCAGTGTTTCTCAACCTTGGCAACTTGAAGATGTCTGGACTTCAACTCCCAGAATTCCCCAGCCAGCGAATGCTGGCTGGGGAATTCTGGGAGTTGAAGTCCAGACATCTTCAAGTTGCCAAGGTTGAGAAACACTGATCTAGGCAATCTCCAGGAATTAACAAGAGCAGCTATATTAAATTTCTACAGCTTAATTAAACATCATCATTATCAGTAGTAGTAGATGGCAGTGTTACATTAGCCAGGAAAAAACAGTGCTAATGTAGAGCGTGACCCGTCAAAACCGCGGTCCACTAAAGCGCGCCCGATTAAAGCGTGTACCTGACGTCATCAGCAGCGCGACAAATACGACCGCAGAGAAAAAAGGGCGCTTTAAAAAGCGCTTTTAAAGCAAGCCGATTCACATAAAGGTAAGGGTTAGGGTTAGGGCTAGGGTTAGGTTAAGGGTTAGGGTTAGGTTTAGGGTTACGTTAAGCGTTAGGATTAGGTTTAGGGTTAGGTTAAGGGTTAGCGTTAGGTTTAGCGTTAGGTTTAGCGTTAGGTTAAGGGTTAGGTATAGGGTTAGGTATAGGGTTAGGTTAAGGGTTAGGCTTAGGGTTAGGTTTAGGGTTAGGTTTGGGGGGTTAGGTTTAGATTTACCCGTTAATTTTAAGTTTACCGCTCAGCGTGCTGTTTTCGTTGCGCTGTGATGACGTCACGTACGGGCTTTCGTCGAGCGCGCTTTAGTCTACCGCGGTTTTGTGGTGGAACCATGTAGAGTAGCAGCTTGGCTGCCAATTTACTAGTTCTGTTGTAGTACACATTCAGGTGCACCACAGGAAAGTGAGCTAGGTTTGCACTAGAAAGAAAGACGAGCAGCTCTTCCTGCAGCTCTTCCTCATCCAAGGCCCCCTCCTTCCACCGGAACCACCTCACAAACAGGTGTCACAACTGGGAAGGTTCAGAGCTGGCAGGAATCTGACCACCTGCATGAAGTATCAGTTCATCTCCCCACCAAAGCAGTATCTCTTTATCTGCTTTCATAGAACACATTTTCAAACTGTTAGATGGGCAGAAGCTGAGGCAAGTGATGGAAGTTCACCCCACCATGCAGTGCTAGGGCTTGAACCACTGTAGCAGAGACCATCTCTAGTTTCACGAAGCCACTGAGCCACCGCATCTCAATTAGCCTTTGGGAAAATGCTTTTTCCTAGAAATTCAAATTGACTTCTGAATATCTTCAGGATCAGAATCCAATTTGGAGATAAGAACTGTTTAAGAATAAAACTCTGCAAGTGTTAACTTTTTATTTTGAATTCTTGCTTGTGCAATTGGCATGGAGGATTAAACAATAATGAGAACTATTGGAAAAACTAATAAGAGGACGGACCATATTCAAAACATCCATGCCTAGGTCCATCTGACTTTTTTTGGTTCTAGTTCCTAAAGAGCAACTTTCTTATGTAACTACTATATTAAAAACATGAGAAACTGAGCAGAGTTTCAAAAATTTCAGAAGGGCCTGGTGGGTGGCAGTTGAAAGGAGGGCATGTTCCAATCCTTCAGCTCCTGGAATTATGCATTAAGCATTGATATATTGCGCAACTTTGATTTTCGAACCTGCTAGATTTTTTAATATTGCTTAGCCAGTGGGCTGCACATGCCTCAAACATTTATTTACAAATACCTCTATTCAGAAATGCTAGATGTATCCTTAAGCTTTCAATCACCATTTCTGATCTCTAGTGCCTGTAAACCAGAGGTGTCCAAACTTGGGAACTTTAAGACTTGTGGGCTTCAACTCCCAGGGAATTCTGGCGCAAGCCTTAAAGTTTCCAGGTTTGGACACCCCCGCTGTAAACAAATGAGTAGCTGCCAAAAAAATCAACTAGCAAAGAAATAATTTACAGTAAAGGATGACCTGTTTGCACAGTTGGATCTCACACTCATCTTGTGCAATACGGTTGATAGAATTGATTCATTTCATAACTCATAGCTCTTAACATCCGCATGGGCTCTTACTGTTCATGCAATAAAGTATGTTTCTGTCCACTGCAATATATTCTGAACAATATGAAATATTTTAGTCCCTAAGTAGCCTAGATTTTAGAGTTAATTTTGTAACCTGCGAGATCCTTCTTCAGTTGCAGTATTAATCTTTTGCTTCCTTTTTCTAGAAAATAAGATAATGTAGCTAGATCAACATTCATATTAACTATTTTAGAAATACATGATGTTTATTAAAAGTATTTGTAATTGTTAATATATTTCCGGATATTTATGCCAAGGAAATATGATTGAACAACTTACCCGCGCTTTAGAACGGGTGAAGAATACATTTTTAGTTCATTTTGATAGATTTTTGAAACTTGATGCTAATCTGTGTGATAAATATTTAAGGTGAGAAACATACTTGAAATATTTTCATTCATTAAAAAAAGCGTAGCTTGATTATTCAGTAGTGGCATTTTAGTGAACCAACTTGTAAAACTTTATAGTTAAATCCACAGTTCTAGTGGTTTCCATCTTCTCATGAACAATTGTTCACACAAGAGCATATGGTGTAATATTTTCATAATGAATACTATTTTGAAAGTCCAGGAGTATAAATCCTGTTTCAAAGTACCGACCATTAAACTTGAACATCTAGATATGCTTCCTGAATTTTAATAATAAATCTCCTTTCTGTGCATGACATTTTGTTTTTAACGTTTTTTTTTTTTTTTTAAATGCAGGCTATGATATTTTAAGGGATGAAGGGAAGTCAAAATTGTGACCGGAATAAGCTCTGGAATGCAACTAGATTTGTGATTTCGGTTTCTAAAATATAGTCTACAGGAAGTCCTTGACTTATGACCCCAGAATTACAAGACATATGTTGGGCTAGTCATTAACCATGTCACCATGAGACCATCCCCAATTTTGCTACACGTAGTCCTCAACTTACGACCACAATTGAGCCCAAATTTTTTGGGCTAAGTGAGACATTGGTTAAGTGAATTTTGCCCATTTTATGACCTCTGTTGCCGTGCAGTGGCAGGCAGTGGTTAAGTTAGTAAAACAGTTGTTAAGTGACTCTGGCTCCTGCCCTGTTAAGCAACTGGTTGTAAGTCAAGGAATACCTATATCAGGGATGTCAAACTTACATTGTCACCGCAGCGTCATTTGACATATTGGGACTCCCCCCCCCCTTTGTTAAATCGGGTGTGGGTGTGGTCAGCATGTGACGCTTCCAGCCCACGGGCTATGAGTTTGACAGCCCTGACCTATATTATCTATTTGCTGTAGTCCACTGGATTAAATCAAACTTTATTGGCATACTATCATAAAGTAAGTTGCCATGAGAATTTTAAAAATACTAAAAGGGTAAAATCTGATATATTACACTTAATATAATTAAGGTTCAAGAGGAAGAGAGATGTTTAATTCCCTCTGCTCCCCTGTCCTTTTGGGGATTTTAAAAATCTTTTCTAAGTCTATCCGTTGTTTAAAATATTTTCTACTCTTTTCCTTCCCAAAAATTTGCAAAAAATCCTGTTGCAAAGGATTCCATCACCAAAAGAGAGAGAGAGAGAGAGAGATTGTCTCTTAAAGCCCTTGTTATACATACCCACAAAGGCTCATATCCTCTTCATAATTTGATTTGATTGGGATTTTTTTTTTAGTGAAAAAAAGCGAAGTGGGTACTTTTAAATAAACAATGCTGTATGAATTCTGCAATACTACAGCATAGAAAGGAAGGGATTACACAAGGACTACTATCCTTTATCAAACAATGACATTACTTCACATTTTTATAATTATACATTTAAACATTTATTTATTATAATTAATTATATCTACATTTTGAAAGTAAAATTTCTACATGTAGAAATCATAAATTTCATCATAAATGAAATAAGCAATTGATTAAAACAAATGTATAAGGATTTCCGTCCACTAAAAAAAGTTTTAAAATGTAGATCACAAATAGATAAAAGTATTACATTGTATCTCCAAAGAATTTCCAGGTATTGGAGACAATAAACTTCAAAGCATTTTTTACAGCAGTGTATAAAAACAAACCAAAAATGTAATTTTCCTTACAATAAATTTTAGTTGTATTATTGCTCCTTAGTAAGATGGGCAGCATATACATTTAATAAGTAAATAAATACATAAATAAAAAAAAATCTGTCCCAGGGACACTTGCAAACTATATGTTCCTAATTACTTGAAGTCAGAATTCCTTAGTGTTTTGTGGCCAGTGGGCATACTTAGAATTTTCAAAGTGTATTAACAGGCATTCCCACTAAATGTTTGCCAGTCGGACACACACACACACACCACACACACACTATTTTTCAGGTTCATCCCTAATATAGGGCCCAGAGTTATCATTAGAAATATAGGTTGGTCTTGGTTCTTCCAGCATGCTAGCTTACTTTAAAAAAATAAAAGACTACAAGTAAATTGGGGAGGAAAGTTGTTAGCTAGGAAGACATGTTGACAAGCAGAGTGCTGTGCTGGATACTATTATTGGGGGGGAATGCCAAAAAAGCCATAGAAGAAAGAAATGTAGTTCTCTTCATTCAGTTCTAGTGGAGTTTAATCTTAGAACCTTTTAATTTCACTGGCACCTTCATTTTACTAAAACCGTGTGTAAATTACAATAGGCATTTCTGTTATAAAATAGTGTACTGATGGAATGGCCAATTTCTTAGTGTTCCTGTTACACAAGGTTCTCTTCATTTTGGGGAAGCAAAGTCCGGTTATTCTACAAAGTATTACACTAAGCAGTTTTGACTGTTTCTTAGTGGTTTGGTTAGGGCCGTGATGGTGAACCTATGGCACGCATGGGGAGGTGGGCCGGAGAAGGCCATTTTCACCCTCCCCAGGCTTTAGGAAAGCCTCCAGCCACATGCGCACAATTTTGGCGCACCATAAGAAAAAGGTTTGCCATCACTGGGTTATGATCATCTTATAAGCTAAAATAAGATTTGTTGTCTTTTAGAGATATCCATGATTTAAGTTTGTGAAGCTGA